TTTTCACCACCACTTAATTTATCACCTGATATTGTTTTATAATTCTAAAGATAATTTATATAAATGAGAAGAAATATGAAAAGCTTCATTTGATACCAACCTCAGGAAAGTCCATAATAAAATTATGTGCATTAGCTAATTTGGCTGCAGCAATAACTTCCTCATCTGTTGCATCTAGTTTTCCTAATCGAATATTCTCTTCAATTGATCCATCAAACAGAACTGGTTCTTGACTAACAATTCCAATATGTGAACGAAGCCAAGCCACATTCAATGTTTTTATATCATGTCCATCAATCAATATTTGACCATTGTCTGGATCATAGAAACGTTGTATCAATTGAATAATAGTACTTTCTAATTATATATGTAGAATATTTTTATTGGAGAAAAGTCAATACTTACTACCACAACCGGATGCTCCAACTAAAGCAATCGTTTTACCAGATGATATTTTCATTGAGAAATTTTGTAAAATCTTAAATATAAAAAAATATTTTAATCATCATAATGAGAAGAAATATTCATACACAAGATTCTTGCCGTGTAGGATAACTAAATGTTACATCTTTAAATTCGATGTCACCCTTGATTGTTTCTGGTTTCTTTCCTTCGCCATCCAAAACATTAATATTTGCCTTCTAATAAATAGATCAATACAATGTTTGCTATACAAGAACATGATCTGTAATTTACTCGTTCGATCATATCAAATACAAAACTTCCGCTAGCTGACGCTTCTGCAAACGTCTGGAAACATGGCATAAATTGTGTTGCTAAAATTGTTACATTCTATTTAATAGAGTATTTTAGTTATTTATATATTTATTTTATTCAAAATAAGGAAATCAACGTACTAAACATGAGGTCAATACCTAAATTATTTGAAAAAATCTAAAAACGCTATTTTGATATCAATAAACTTACCATAAATAATGCTCCAGGTGTGTAATGGTGACTTTCAGTTCGTGTTAATTTCAAACCATACCAAAGTGTTAATGTAATAGCTGAAAAACTAAGAAGTTGTCCCAGACCTTGACTTACACCCATGCACAAACTTTTTCTAATTCCAACTTTTGTTGCTGAGAATAGATTCTGACTATATCTATGTATGGAAAACAATCGATAGTTATATATTAAATAATGATTCAAACCGTTCTTCCTCTTTCTGTTGACCATGAAATGATGTTACTGTTCGAATATTTCCTAATGCTTCTTCAGCAATTGATGATGCTAAACTATACGCTTCTATTTCTTTGGCACTGTACTTAACAATTATCTATAATTGAAACAAATCCATCAGTATAAATAAAATAAAATCAATTTCTTATTGTTATATTACTTACTACAATAGTTATTTTATACATAAAAATAATTAAAGGTGACACGGATAAAAAGACAAGTGACATTTTCCATCCGATTATCAAACCATATATAAGCACACAAATCGCTCTTGAAACTAGTGACACAAAATCCGGTACTTTTTCACTAGAGAAAATAAATTAAATCAATGAAAATCTGTTATGTTCTTCATACTTGATGCCGTTTTTAACTTTATCTAATAACGTAAAAACATACTTATCAATGAGAAAATTAACAAAATTTGTTAGTTGTTTACCTAGATCATCATTAAGACGAGTGTTCAATTCACCAATACTATGAATATCAAACCAACCGATTTCTTGAGAAAGAATATTTCGAAAAAGTTTATAACTATACATATGAATATTTCCAGATATAAAACAAATTATAAATTATCTTTTTTCTCTACCGAATACGTCGTATTTGTCTTTCAGCTGTAGTCATCCAACTTGCCCATGCCACCCAATAAAGAAATATACTTATACAACCAAGGATAATATAACTTTTACTAATCGATTGTATAGCATTATATGCTGATATTATATTATGTGTATTCGATGAATAGGTAGATTGACTAAAAAAAACAAATTAAACAATATTGCTAGAAAAATTACAATATCATTACCATTCATTTGAATTGACTGTATAGTGATCTGTATTTGTCATTTTCATGCTATTATTGCCCATAAGAATAAGGTTATCAAGTAGCTGACGATTAAAATAAAACATTGCTGCATAAGAAACTAAGAAAGAATATTTCATCAGTATTGTATCTATTCTTCTCTCTTCCTTAGTAACTTACCACCAGTGGCCAATGCTTAAAATAAAAAAAAGAATTATTACACTTTTTAATAAAAATTATAGCTAACCAGCAATTATTCCAATAATCATTAGAAAAATATCAATTTTGTCAGCAAACTTGTAAATTTCGAATAATTTTAATCGACGATTTGATGTATTCTTCGATGGTTTTGCCGACTTTCTTAAAAAACTATTCAACAATCAAACATTTTTACTCTCATTTTCTCCATAAATAACAAAATGATACTAACGGAATTCTTGATAAAAAAGTAAATCGATGTTTTTTACCAGATACTATTGATATGTTATCACTCTCAACTGAAACGTGACTCGATGTATCTTTATTATTTTGATTATTTGATTCCTTTTTCGTGACATCATTTTCTGATTTGTTATCATCATGACGGGACGTCATTCTGTATTTGTTTAATGTGACAATATGATTTGAAATAGATCTAAAAGATATATAAAAATATTTTCTTATCAGAGAACATCAAAAAATGATAAAAAGCTTCGAAAATCATATTTTATTCATCGATTAGACTTTTTATAAATGATAAAACCTCGAATGAATTTTATTCTAGAAGACGCTCATTTAAATTTAATATCACCTCAGTACAATTCGATGTCTTAGTAAATACTTTGATACAGACCAAAAGCGTAGTGAAACTGTTAAATTCGAACAGAAATCACATGAAGAACAACTCATATGAGGTTTTATCAGCTGCATCAATTTGAATCTATGGACATAATTTAAGCTCCACATATTTCTTTTGCCAGCATTACCAAACAAGTTGTATCATCACTATTCATTTTACTTTAATGAGATGGTTAACAAAAACTTATTCAAAAAGATATCTAAATGAGATTATAAAAAGCGACAAACATAAAAGTAAATTTGATTTGAATGTGAAGTAGATATCTTCTATATAAAGGGAAAGTAATTGTTCGTTATAGATGCATATGTCTATTATCAACGTCAATAATACAGATTTTTATCATGTTTTCTTTTGTTTCATTGTTTTAGCTGGATGTATTATTTTTAACTTGATAAATCACGTATGCCTGTTGACGTCAATATATTTTATACATAATAATTCAAACGTACCGAATTACTTCGTATATTTATCGTCAACAATATGATGACGTATACATACATACTTTCTTTTTTTTATCGTCCTCTATACTCTCTGACATGCGTATACATATTATTCTTCTCGAGAATTTTGTTCGATGAAAAAGAAGATAATTATCTTTGTTAAATTAACGAAACTTAGAATATCAAAAACTCTTCTTTTCCTTCAGTAAGCTACTAATCTGTCATAATTCACTTAACCAGTACAATAAAGAACTGGATAATAGCTAAATCGGTATAGGAGAGAAATGTATTTTTTCACACAAGAGCATCTGCAGTACAAAATATTGCATATTGATGAACTTTAAATTGAATGTTGGCAATTTATTCGAATCCATTTCTGATTCGAACAGGAGTATTATAACGATCGTCTCTATCATGTATGCGCAACAGACCGAAGCAAATGATAAAAAATAGATTTAAATATACAAAACAACAAACAAAAGTTAGACATCTAAAAAATTAAACGACACACGCTATCAAATTGTTCTGTCATTTCAAAAAAAATATCTCTCAAGGCGATTTCTTTAATCAACAATCATCACTTTTTTGTATTATTCTAAATATACAACAACATCAATTTTCAATAGTGTACCAATTCATATTGATAGTAATCTTCTTTTTACAGTTATTAATTATTATATTTTACATGAATTCTTTTTCATGAACTACATTTATTACTATTTGTTCTCGAGTGAATAATTGCCTAACTATTAACAACTAGTATATCATTACAAAAGAACGGAGGATTCATGTGATAGTTAAACGAAATGAATATTGTAATGAGTCATATTAGTTATACAATAACAACAATAGAATGTACACGAAAAAGTAGAAGGATAAAAAAATACGAATATCGTCATCATACAATAAACTATTGTAATACGAAGAAAATATCTTTAGTCAGTTATTTAAAGATAAAATGTTCTTGGTGTTCAGAGAAAATTTTTTCTTTTTACAATAAAAATTAACTTGAAGTTTGTATTAATCTTTATTTAATAACTAATAAAGCTAATGATTATCTTTCTATTTATTAAATTATTTGAAACATCATACTATATAACATATTTTGGTTAAAATATATTTTTAAAAATAGAAAGAAACACCTGCAAGTATCGAGATAATTCTTGATGTTTGGCTATCAGTAAATGAAAAATATATTCCAAGTGAAAATAAACGAATTTTTATATCCTGAGCACCGATCGAAAATAGGCAGTTAAATGTAGTTTATCTCCTTGTTTTTATTGTTTTACACTGCATGAAGATTATTTAACTGTTAGAAAATCGATAGATTTGAACACAATCAGAATTAATATAATCAATAAATTAATTTTTTTTATTAATAATATAAATGACTTCGTCAAAAACAATTCACATGCAACTCTATAGAATATGAAAAAAATTCAAATTCTTATTATTTATTAATTTTTCTATAAATAAAATAAATGATTAAAGTTCACAATTCTCACATATATTCTTATCATATCTTTGATGACGAGAAGAAACTATGACTGATGGATTTTTCTTAGTTTTTATTGTTTTATGTAAATCTTTGAATGAATCTTTATCAAGACGAATTGTAATTAAATTCTCATTGTTTTCATCATATAATCTTCCAGAACCATATTCAACATGTTCACTAAATAAAGTACATTCTTGTTTTATTTGATTATACATAATTGTTTGACATAATGATGATTCTTGACATAAATTAATACATCTTAAACGATTTCGACATTTATGTACACCAAGATAAAAACGATTTTCTGATGGAATAAATCTTTTATGAGGATATAATATACCATTTGATGTTCGAGATGCACTATTACTTGATAACAAAGATATTTCAATAATTAAATTTAATAAAATAACTAATATAAAATATTTCTAAAAATACTTAATCTAATATAAACTATCTTATCTTTCTTTCTCTTACATTATTCATATTTGATTTTGTGTATATAGTTCATGAAATAATTGTGATAACATCTTGTTTTTCCATTTTATATAAATGTAAGAAAAAAACAAACTTTTTAAAAATCTACGACACACAAAAGGACATTTATTAAGTAATGAAAAAGCAAGAAGAAGAAGAAAAAAAGAAGAAAATGTAGCTCTATGTTATATAAATTGACAAAGACAAAAAAAACAACGTCGAGAATGACAAAGTATTTCTTCTTTGTTTAAATAGCACACAAATGACTATTAAAATTTCCAAAAACTTGTAGAATAAAATTTTTTCTTAATGTTCTTCAATATGAAGACATTAAAATATGACTATATTATTGTTTTAAATTTAAAGATCTTCTGCTCTTGATGATGTAGCAAACCAAAATGTTACTGCTGTAACAATAAAAATTAATGTTGTTGCAATTATTTCATAAACTGTTGCTCGTCCAATTATTGTATGATAATGTGTATTAGCATCTTCACGTAATTCTTGTTCAGCCTTCGTATATAATTCACGACTAACATTTTCTTTTAAAAATAAAAATAAAAAAAATTTAAATAAAAACTATCTCTTATTTATTTTTATTTTACCATGAAATTTAGCATAATTACGAAGGCTATGCAAATCATAACTTTGCATACCATTTTTTAAACTTTGTAATGGAAATGAAAAATCTTCATATGTATCACGTCGAAGAACTTGATAAAATTAAAAGGTCTCTAAATTAATATTTCAATATTTTTCATAACTTACATGCTCCAAAAAGGATTAATCCTGTGGCTAATAAAAGTAATGCTGATAGAAAACAAATAAATGGTGCATAACGTACTAAAAGCACTGCACTTTCTAAAAAAATCAAAGCACTTAGATTTTTATTTGTAATTGAAATCTACAAACCATTTTGTGGTTGCGCTATATTATTTAAATAAAGTAATAATATACCAATAATAAGAAATATAGCTGCTGAAACTGTTAACCATTGTAAAGCTCTAGTTGATGGTAAATAACGACATGAACAACCTTCAGGTATTTGATCGACTTGAAGAACTGGACAATTTCGACGAATATTATAACATAAATTAAATTTTTGTGGTGGATATCTCATATATAGATTCGGTCGACATATTTCAACATTTGGTCGAACACCAAGTGCTACACCTTGTTTCATTATTGTCAAATTTGTATTTTCACATCTTTGCCAAAGACCATAACTAACTGGACTCAATACTGGTTCGGCATCTCGTTTTGTTATTTTCCAATGTGGTGAACATCTATAGAATTTTATTGGTATACTTTTATATAAATTATTCTTCAAAGTAAACTTACAAAGCCAATAAATGTAAAACTAATGCAGCAATGCCCAAAAAGAGAGCTACAGTAACAAGTACAACACCTCGAATTTGCATGATCTATTTAGGAAAAGAAAATAGAAGATTTTGAAATTCATTATTCGTTGTATATATCTATCTGATTGAAATTGAATCTATATGTCCTTCTAAATGACTTGAGTTTTAGAGATTGAATTACTCATATATGATTTATCAGATTAATGATAGAAAAAGAAATACTAGAAGATTTTGTAGTTGATACAACAACTAATAATATCAATACTTTTTTATGTCTAATTAAATAGAAATCATGCATATCTTTTCAAAACCATATTTTTTATGTAAACAAACCTATGAACAATTAATATAAATAATTAATTAAAGATATTATCTTATAAATATATATATATATATGATTGATAGATAAGAAGATACATATAAATTCAATAGATGTTATATTTATCATAGAAAACATTGATCGTATTAACAAAATTAGTTTTGACTTACTGAATTAGTTGTAATAATGAAGAGAAGAGAAATGCTAAACGAAACAATTTAGGATATTGATCTAAAAGAAATAATAGATGAAGAGAAAAAAGTCTGTTTGTAATGTTAAACATCCTGGGGAGAATTCAATATATTCACATTCATCGGTCAAGCTGTCGCCTGATAGGTTCTATCTTTTATTGGTGGTGTAAAATAAATTAAATACTCAAGCACCCTATTCTCACATTTCTTTTTTTTGTCAACTATTCTTAGATATACATAGACATGCCCACATCGTTCTTGTCTCACGAATGGGACCAACAATAACAATGAAGACGATGGATCAGAATGGCTTATCGTTGTTGTTGTCGTCGTCTCTCTTGATACCCATTGTTCCATTTCGATCGGTCTTCTCTCTCTCATCCACTCTCTTCTATTGTCGAGTGTATGCACAATCTTTCAACACTATCACGCCTACCAACAAACAAATAATATGCAGACAAAATGGACAAGTAAAAAAACCAGATACTATTTGATATATTCTATCATTATTCTTCTCATCTACTTACTCTTTTGATGCTAATCAAAATGTATATGAAGAGAGAGAGAGAGAAAAAAACGGAACGTGACAATGAATGTCTGTCATACGAACTATTAACTTCATTTTCTTTTAACCTCTCTTTTTTTGTTTCTTTGTTCAAGTTCATGGCAAGAAACAGACAGTATAGAGAAAAGAGAAAACGCGAACGCGCGGCTACAATACATGACATAGGGAGTGCTGTTAAATTATTGTACATGCTTACATGCAAATATGTAAGGATCGACTGACGGTGCGAGAAAAAGAGAAGAATGCATGTAAACGAGAAATGTTATGGACTGATGCCAAAAAAAAGGATGAAGAAAGGAGAACAAAAGAAGAAGAGAAGAAGAGAACGAGTTCTCAGTTTCTGACATCACATAGCAGTAGCCACAATTGCCAAACTGTTTGTTATCTTGCCTTTTGAGACACAAGGCAACTATACCACAAACATTATTCATTTATTCAACAATCATCTCAACTATTTTTTGATTAACATCATACACATAAAATTCAATTCACTAAACTTTATTTTATTCACATGATTTCATTCTAAAAAACGACTTATTCTCCTGTGACTTATATGTTATTGATTGAGATCACTATTAGTTCAAATATATTGAGCGTGTGCACTTTATCCTATAGAAACAAACTGCACGAAAAAAATGAATTTAATCAGAAGTAAATGTTATAGAGATCAAAGAAAAGGTCATTATAAAAGATATTGACTTATTAATTACAAAACAAATAAACAATTGTTATGAACAAACATTCATTTATGATCAATCATCTATTTTACTCATTCATTGGTAATTTATTTAAAAGATTAATTCTACAGTCTCATTAAAATACATCCGATTTTACTAAAATAATGATTAATGCAAGTGTCTTTTTCATTGTATAACGATTATTTGCTGACGTAAATGATGAAAAACTCCTAAATGAAAGGGAAACGAGAGATAGGAAGAAAAATGAGAACAAAAATTGAAAATGCTCGTTGTGTACATGATAAACAGACACACACACACACAAAATGATTTGACGACGTGTACTAGCAGTATGCATTTGTTACTGTTAACAATATAACATAATAAAATAGAAAAAAGAAGAGAAAGTGATAAACGATCTACAATATTGATTGATTAGAGATCATTTATGATCAAAGATAAAATCAAGTATATGTATCTCTATCAAACGTCAATTTGATCAACCTATGAGAAGAACAATACTTCATCTGTATCATAGCTGATCTAGATACAAAAAAAAGACTTCCTATGTAAATATTGTATAGAAATTTTATTTAAATATTTTGTTTTTACAGATGATATCTATGATTTTTTTTCTATTAATAATATTATTATAAAATTCGTAAGGTAAATTGATTTTTGTTGTGATACAATGTTTGGAATAACAAATCATGTTTTTTCAGATATTAAGAACATGTCCAGAAACTATAATAATGAATTTAGTCATTAGACCCTTGAGAGATACGTGATATGATAGCAAATAAAGATTTATTCGATCGAAATAATATAACAATTGTATATAATACTTATTTTTCTGTCAAATAAATTATTATAACCAATTCTAGAGTTTTATTTCTTTGCATAAAATATTTTTAATGAATAAGATCGAAGAAAACAATTTCTCTTGAGAGTTCTTCTAGTATTTCATTGATAATATTAATATGCATAATTAATTGACCAAATGAGTACTGTTTAATGTTTGTCGATCATAATCAACAGAGACGAGTTGCAAAAAGAGAAACTCTATTACTTGTTTCATATTTTATCAATTTACTATGTTTGTAAATATGACATTAGAAATATTGCTTGTCTTTTTTTGCTTCTGCTTGGCTATATATAAAAATAATAAAAACAACAATATTATTATTATTTTGTATCAGACATGTTTCTCATTTCTTTAACTATCAAATTGATGGATCGTTTTTGACATTTTGCTGACTGATGTTGAATGATGAATAGATAGATAACTATAACTGATCATCATCAAGAGACATAGATAGACAGAATAGCTAACTGATTGTCTTTGCTTGTTTGCGCCTGTATACATATATTTTCTAGTATTGTAATGATATGTGGGTTAACAAGATTTGTGACCTTGATATAGTAAGATACTAAAAATAAGAAAAGGTTGTCATCATTACAAAGTACTATAAATAGTCTAGAATAGAATATATCTATATAAGTTCATTTACTAAAATATGTACATATCATGATAAATAAATGTAACAAAGAGTAAATATCATTGTTTTATTAGTAAGACATGTGTGTTATCATGTCTTTATCCATATAGACATAGTGCAGAACACAAATCAGGAAACCAGAAATGCACGCAATATGTTATGATTTTCAGATACAATAGATAAATCGTGCCATATTTTCTATCTGGATAAAGATTCTTTTTTATGTAACTAATCACTAAAGATCATTTTTTTTCAAGTGAATTAATTAGAATTATTGCATATTAAAGTAAAATTAGCCATCGAAATAACTCTCTAGTGAATAGTTTAACCTGAAATTTTCTTTTATAATCAAATAAACGTAAATGAAACATGTTTATACAACAATAAAGAGGAAAAAAAAAGATAACAAGCGGTTTAAAAAAAAAACACTAAGAACACATGGTAGATATTAAGGAATAATAGCTTTTCCTAAGACAGTTTTAAGATTTTCAAGTAATAATGTTTGTTCTAATAATTCTGTTTGTACTTGATTTTTTTCATTTTCTAATAAACGTATTTGTTCAACTTCTTTTTTAATATCCCAATCATGTTTTATTGTTCGAGATAAATCAGTAAAATCTTGATATTTTCTATCGAAATCTGTTTTAACAATTGAAAGATCTTGTGAATGTTCAATATTTAATTGATTTAATACATTAACTAATTCAAGCATCATTGATATAGCTATTTCAGTATTACGTATTAATGTTATACGATCATTTAATTCCGAACGAATATCATCAGATTTATGTATAAAATCATTTGTTTTACAATTAATTATTGTTCGAGAACGAATAAGTGATGCCATTGATTCTGATATTAATTCAGATAATTGTTCATCTATATGACGTGATTCAGAAAATAATGTTTGTAAAATTTCTGTCTAGAAAAAATAAAAAATCAATAATTAATATATCTAAATAAAATAAAAAAAATCATACTCCATCTGTTTTGAATTTTGTTACATGCATAACAGCTGATTCTAGACGATCTTTTATTTTAGTAAAATCTTCTTCCATACGTTCTCGTTCATAACGTATATTTTCTAATTGTTTTTTATGTTCGGATAAATATTGTTCTTCATATTCAAGTCTTTGTTCACGTTGTTGTAAATATTCGGTTTCTTGAAGAAATGCAGCAGCAACTTTTAATTGCATTTGTGAAAGCATTGTTTGTAAACTTGAATATGTTGTTGTAAATGAATTTCGAGTTAGAACTGATGATTGATGAGCTATATCACGTTCAAGACGTAACTGTTCGTTAAATGATAAACTATTAATTGGTGTATGAACATCTGTTATATGTGTTAGATTAAGAGCATATGCATTTGGATTTATTTCCACACTTAATTCATTAGGTAAGATTGATGAAGATCGTTCTTGTGGTGTAAATATTGGTGGTTTTAACTCATCTAATGGAGATGTTGTTGGACAATTTCGATTCACATCCATCATTTTAGTTGTATTATGTGTGTATAGAATATAGAAGGGAAAAAGAACGAATAAAAGATTTCTTTGTTAGATATATATGTGTATTTAGTTGACATTGCTTCATCGAGGGTAAACGTGGATGAATCATAATCGAAAAGAAAAATGTTAGTGAAAATCTTAAAGTAAATAGAGAGTATTTATTTATTTTTGAATATATGCACAAATTTCATATCATAGAACTCAAACAACTATATTTGTATTGATCAAGATGAATTTTGTTTCCATTATACAGAGTGTTTCAAAAGTCCTATCTACTTAAGAAACTGATATGGTGTTGATCTTTTTGCCAAAGGATGCGTCGTAAAAAGCTATACAAAAACTGCATAAATTAGTTCTATCGACTTTTCATAGTAGCTTTTTTCTTGTTTAATATAAACCTCAATATGAAGAACTTACATAGTATCATTACTTCACAGCAGAATAAAAATGTCAGATTTTACCAATTTCGTAGGTCGAAATATGTGTGAAATAAGAAATGTTGGAGTTAAACGCATTTCTTAAGTGGACAATACTTTTGGGAGGTCCTGTAGTTTTGTAACATCGAGCCAGTATTCATCATTATTTGTAAATTTGAGATAAACTGTTAATGACAGATATGTATACAAACCCAAGGTACACATGTGTGTATATATATACATGATAGTAGTTAAAGGAAAAATAATTAATATAGATGATATAAAGGGAAAGGTCTATATATGTTAAATCAATAGATTATTTGTTACTGTTTACGCGGAAAAACATGAAATGTAATATTTTCACATATTTCGAAAAATATCTAATGTTTATTTTATAAATATGATTTCAATCTTTGATCTTAGCAAAAAAGAAACTTTTTATTTAAATATTGATTATCAAATGATATAGTCTATTATAAGTCTTAATAAATATAAACATTAATTTATAAATCAATGATTTTTGATCAATTGTCTATAAAGTTTATTATGATATTGTCAAGAAATACAAAAAAATACTATGAATGAATACAAGATTTTAATCTTGATTGGCATTCTTTTAAAAATGTAATTTATCTTAAGTTATCATTTGCTTCGAGAATGAATACTATCTAAAATTTGTTTTAATAATTGTTCAAGTTGTTTGGAATTAAAATTAGCTTGAGAAATACGTTTTGATATATCTTCATAAGTTTTTTCTTCATATTGTTGATAAACTTCTTTTAAATTTAATTCTTGATAAATATTTTTAACACATTGAACTTTAGTTAAATCATCATAACCATAATTATTACGAAGAATTTCTCGTCTTTCATCATTATCTTTCAATAATTTAATAGCTTGAACAATAAGCCATGAACATTTTCGTTCTTGTATATCAGTACCAATTTTACCTGTTTTATTTGGATCACCAAAACAATCAAGATAATCATCTTGAACTTGAAAATATATACCAATATCAACAGCAAGAGATTTTAATTCCGAATGATCAGCAAGATCTGCTGATGGACTTATTAATAAACCACAAATAATTGGTAAAACAATTGTATAATAAGCTGTTTTCCATGTTACAACTGTATAATAATGTTCTTCTGTATATAAATCAATTGATGGTAAATATGTTGGAGTTTCTAAATCAAGACCTATTAAATAAAAATATAAAGATTATTAAGAAACATGTGTGTATGTGTGTGTGTTTTATTAACCTTGTCCAATGACAGTTCGTTGAAAAATTTCACTAAATAAATGATATAATTTCACATTTGTTGGAAAATATTTCTTTAATAATACAAATGCACATGAATATAAATAAAATGAATCATTAACAGCTGATTCTTTTTCATTTACTTTTAAATACCAACAAGGTTTATCACGTCTTGTTAATGAATGATCCATAAGATCATCAGCAACAAGAAACGCACCTTGAAGTAATTCAATACACCATCCAAGTACAGCTGCATGTTTCAATAATAATTCATCAGCAGATTCTGATGTTATAAAACGTATTGTATCAATAACAGTTGTACCACGAAGTTTTTTTCCATCACATATATTATAATCAAGAACATTTTTAAAATGAGATAAAACCATTTGAAGAGAATTATTTTTCGATGATTGAGATGAATATTGTGAAACAAGATCTTCTATTATTGTATCATAATAGGAATTTAATATTTGTAAACTTGATGATGAATTCATCGTTAAAGAAAAATAATCTGAAAAGAATATTATTTAATAATATTTTTCATACTTAACATTCTACCTCGTTGTTGGTTAATACAAACTGTGACATTTTTTAATGTATAAAATTTGTTTAGATTTAAATTTTTTGAAGTTAAGAATATTCTTTGTCTAGGAAATGCTAATAGCGAATAATTTATCGATCGAATAAATGAAATCATGGAATATTAGATCATCATATTACTAAAATAAAGAAAAAAAATAATAATAAAAAAGTATTAAAGAATATTACAAACGTCAGTTTTTATTGTAATTGTAACTCGTGATTTAGTGTTTAAAAGTGTCGTGAAAAAAATCAAAACAAAATATTTACTAACTGATTACCACGACGACAGGAAGAAATAAAATACGTCATAAACTTGTCTTCGTCACATTCTGATTATTAGTACTAATGTGAAAGTTTTCATAATTTTTTCTCTTAACATATTTAATAATAAAAGATATACTCGTATATGAATAAGAGAACAGGTATGAAAGGAAAGAAAAAATATAAGAACACATACGGATACATGTGTATTTATATCTCTGTGGTTTGTGTACTCATGAAATCACGCCATGTATATTACATTGATATTATTCTAGCAAAGATCGAACCATATGAAAGATAAATTAATAGAAATTCAAGAGGATAAAATGATAGTATATGTGTGTGTCTCTCTCTCTATCTTGAAGTGTTAAAATCGCACCATTTTTACTCCTTGATAAATTCTATTAATGTATTACCTAAGCAATATAAGATTAAATAAGTTAATTATTGAATGGATATAAAAATATTTGGTAATCTAGAAGTATGAGCATATCATATTCAATAAATCTCAATTGAATTATTTGAAGTGAAGAAGAAATTTAGAATCAAAATAATTTTATTTATAAAAAACAAAAACAAAACAAAGATAAAACCATATTTTAAAAATAAAATATATACATAAATATCTTTACTTTAATTTCAAAATTATTTAGAGGATGTCTCAAAAGTCATTCAATTCAACATTTATAAACACTGTTCTATGAAGCATTTTAAAATTTGAACTCATTTAGAAATAATAAGTAAACACGATTCTTCATCTATATTAATTAGTATCCGTTTAAATTTATAGAGACCTCCGAATGAATCCTGTAAACAATATTTAATATCTCAAAAGCTTTGATCGTTAAAGTGAGAGGACTCTATGAATACTAATACTAGTTCTTATTGATGGGTTGATCGGTACATATGGATAAGAATCGATAGATATTGTTGAATATACGTGTTGACAGGTGTATACATATCGATGAATAATGGTAAATATTGATGTTTATTGATGCACATCGGTGGTTATAGACAGATACCGGCATATCGTGATGGTTGGTCTGTATTGAAAGTCATGTATCAGATAATCGAAACGTTGTTTTTAATTGCGAATCTATGCAGATTGTGTTGATAATATTTCCAACCGAAATTATAACATTCAATTTTGACAATATATCTTAATTTGTATTAAAACGTTCATAAATTGGATGTAATTTGAAAAGGACAATTTAAGTGAATTGTTACACTATCCTTATATTTTCTAACTTCTCTCTTCTTCTTGTTTTCATGTCATAGATTCACCTATAATCTTGATTAATTAAAAAATCCTTTAGAAAGAATTGCACTCTTTCTTTATCTTAATCAGAAAACTAATTCTCTAATGAATTTTCTTTTGTGATATGACTTTTAGGACATCCTATATATATGCAAAATCAACACTATAAAATAAAAATTAATTATACCATAAACATTTCAGATAAAACCAAAACGCTTGATCAAATGTAATAGAAAAATTAGTTCGTTGAAAAATTTCTTTATTAAATTGTGATGAAATTACATTGATATGTGGTGTATGATTTGTATAACGAATAGAAATATTAAGATTAATTTTATTTAATAATGGAAATAAATTATCACCCGAAATTATTTTTTTCCAATGAATATGATTTAAAAATTCCTGATCCCATACTGATCCTGACATATCTAATGAATGTAATACAGGCATACGACGTAATAGAAATATAACTTCTTGAAATGTTATATCATTATGAAGACCAATGATAAGTTTTTTTAAATTTAAACAACAATAATCTTGATCATAAGTTTTACTATCAAATACTCTTCCATTCGAATTAAGCCAAACATTCAACGAACGAAGTTTAGGAATATGTATTAAAAGATTAAATAACATATCAAGTGTTATCATACTTAAATTTATATGTTGAATTGATAAAGAAAGAGGTAAATTTTGATTAAGAATATAAAGTGTTGGTGATAATTTTATTTGTAATTTCTGAAGATTTTTTAGAGAAAGTATTTGATGAATTAAATTATTTGTTGGTTGACCAAAATAAAAATTATTTGTTGATATTATATTTAAACAATTAAGACGAGATAAATTAGAATATTGAAGTAATAATAAAATATCATTCGGTAACCAATCAATGAGAGAAAGATTAATTATTCGAAAAGAAAATTTATTTAATGGTATTGTTACTTTTGATATTAAACGAGCAGATAATGGTATATGAATATCATATAATAAACATTCAATTCGATAATTAAGAGAAGAAAAAGCTCGATAGAGTTCAGTTAATTCAAGTAAAGAAAATATTTGAAGAATTATTTCATTTGGAAGATCTTCAAGCACTTAAAAGTAAATCTATCAATTTTTCTTATGAAGAATGAATATAATCTTACTTTTTAATGCTTTTGAAATATTTTAATCATTATCTATAATTAATATAGAATACACAACTAAAAACAAAAAAGTTACGTTTCGTTATTTTAGTGAGAAAATTTGCATGATTTAATAAGTTAAGAACAATGAGTTAACTTCATTAATTTTAATAAAGAATGGATTGATAAATACATAAAATTAGTATGATAAAAAGACAGAGATTCTAGTTTATATATGAAAAGACAACAAAAAAAAACAATCCCTATGATTGTCACTGTCGCTTGTCTTTCGTTACATAAACAAACATACATACACACACACACATTAAACATATACAAAGTTAATAAAGACAAGAAAAAAAAACATTAAAAAATACCGGTAAAACAAAAAATGATGTAGGATATGATTTCTTTTTTAGTGTTTTCCACCGCGACCACCATTTCCATATCCAAGAAAACGTGTTGTTCTAGTTATAGGCGATGTTGGAAACTCGTTTAATTCACGTATTAAAACTGTGACACCATTTTGATCAGTTACTTCTGTTATTGTTGTTGTTGTTGTTTTTGTTGAAATATTTGTTGGTTCCCATAAAAATTCACGTATCGATTCATCTAATTGTGGCTTTTCGTTAATGATTGATTCTTCTTCTTCTTCTGCGTCAGATTCTTTGGACGAATCAGATGAATGTTTCAGTTTGAATTCCGGTTCTTCTACTCGATTGGATCGAGATTTATTAGTGTCAGATTGATTATCGTCTAGTTTTTCTTTTGAAAGAGAATCTTCATCAG